GCCCCAGCCCCACACCTGCACCCATCCTCGGCCAGGCCCTGCAGACCCCGCCCAGAGCTGGTGGCCACTCCCCGGGCAGAATCTGCTGCCTTTGTCTGTGGCCCTGCAGTGGGTGAGCCGCCTGCTAGCCCCGGCAGCCGCCAAGGGTGCTGAGTGCAGGCCCTTTATTCATGGCTGCATGGCCAGGGCAGAATTGTGAGGCACGCAAAGGTGGCCATGGGCGGTTGGGCAAGCCTAGCCTTGTACAGGAAGGGCTCCTCTGCCTCCCTCCCAGATGTTGGGTGAAAGGAGGTGGCAGTGCCCTGTGTTGTCCTGCACAGATGCAGAGCCAGGGAGGAGGCTAGTGCACAGCTCGTGGTGCAGCACAAGGGTAGCTCAGGGTATGCAGTGGCCCACTCCCCTCGAGGGGACCCCCATCACATGGGAGGAGGAAGGAGGGACAGGAAAGTAGGTCAGGGGAAGGGAGCTCTTGAAAGGGCAGGAGGGACCTGAGGGGAAGGTTTCTGGCCAGGGGTGTATTGCAGGGAGATGCGGACACTGAGGGGTGAGCACAGCTGGGAAGGTGTCTTGCTGTGCTGTAGTGGGGATCCCATTTGCTGCAGGTGTAAGAGGTCCCTAGTATGACAGTGGTCAGAAAGAGGGTGCTGGCCTCTGTGGGCTGCTCCCTTGAGCACTGTTTTTTCCCTGGCACCCCTCCCCTTTGCCTCTGCAAAGCCCTGCAGTCGCTGCAAGCCACAGGGTCCCTGGGGGCCTGCCCTGGCTGTGGGAAGGGCAGTGTTTCCCAGTGGAGAGCAGCAATGTCCCCTGTGTTCAGGGGTCCAAGGCAAGCCTGCTGCCCGGGCTAGGATACCTCCCAGGCCTGCCTTGAGGAAATGCTTCCTCAGAGAGGACAGGCTGGACAAGGGAAAAAATGCCACTTTAGCCTGGTGCCCTAAACAACTCAGCCACCCTGTCAGTATATGAGGTGCTGGGCTCACTTTGCCTTGAATTGTCTTGATTGCAAGGAGTACGGGGTTCAAATCCCCCTGCTCCCTGTTCTGACCCCAGCATCTTTTCCTCCAAGGAGCAGGCACCCAGCATAGAGGAAGAGCCAGGCCCAACCCTACGGCAGAGGAAAGAGAGTTCTCCAGGGGTCAGCTGAAGCACTGGCCTGCCCTTCCCTGGTGCTCTAGTGGTCAGCAGTAGAGGGGTCACCTCCTATCCAACTTGGAGCCTTGCCCCTTGACAGGACACTGCTCCCTGGCCACTGTCTTGGGATCAGAAATTCACCCCTGACCATTACCACCCCCAGTGCCATGCCCTTGGCCCACAGGAGCGCCCTTCAGCCAGGTCAGGTGAGGCCTTAGCTGACCTTCCCTGCTGGTCTAGTGGTTCTCGCTGCCACGGCCTGGGCTCAGTCTGTAGCTGAGGAAGCCCATCTTCCTTCTCTTCTTTCCCGTGCCTTTGTCACGGACACTTTTTCCCCTTCTCACAGGGGAGCAGAGCCATTTGGCTGTTGGGGGGACTCCATAACAGGAGCGAAGCCGGCTCAACCCCCCTGACAAAATGCAGGCCCCCTGCCCCCAACCATGCGGTCCCTGGGGCCAGTCTGAGGTGCAGCGACTGACCCAGGCTGGGCCCTGAGTAGCTGGGCTGGCACCACCACTGCACTGGCAGGATGAGGAGCCCTGAGGAGTGAGGAGGGGGTAAGTGGTGGCTGGTGGAGTGGGCCAGGGCCAGGCAGGGCTCTGGGAAGGAGTAGGAATGATATATGGTGCCCGCAGTCAGGGGGCTGCAGGGTAGGGGAGCAGGGCCACCCTGCAGCCGGGCGTGGGGACCTTGAGACCCCCCCCCAGATCTGGCAGTATCAGGGACCCCCAAAAGGCAGCAAAAGGGCACAGCAGCCCCCTTGGCTCTCCAGGAAACTAGTGGACCTCCTGTGTCTAAAAAGAAAGGCCTACAAAGGATGGAGAATGGTGTCCACCTCCAAGGAGGAATATTCGGCACTAGTCCGGACCTGCAGGGAGCGAACCAGGAAAGCCAAGGCTGCCATGGAACTCCAACTAGCTACACGTATCAAGGACAATAAAAAGTCCTTTTTTAGATATGTGGGGAGCCGGAGGCAAAGCAAGGGCAATGTTGGAACCCTCCTAAAGCAGAAAGGACAACTGACAACCGACACCCAGGAAAAGGCCAACTTGCTAAATGGGTACTTTGTGTCGGTTTTTCACCAGTCCCAAGGGACACCCCTGCCCATTACGGGACAGGAAGGCCTGGGTGAGGGAGATTCTGTACCCTCCATCAATGCTGACCTTGTGAAGGAACACCTTGAGAGGCTGGACACCTTCAAGTCAGCCGGCCCTGACAGCTTACACACCAAGGTACTCAAGAAGCTGGCTAGCACCATAGTTCAGCCCCTGGCACGGACCTTCGAGAACTCCTGGTGCTCCGGTGAAGTGCCTGAAGATTGGAAGAAGGCCAATGTGGTGCCTGTCTTCAGGAAGGGGAGGAAAGTGGATCCAGCAAACCACAGGCCCATCATCCTGACCTCTATCTTGGGGAAGATCCTAGAAAAGATTATCAAAGAAACCATTCTCAACAGACTGGTCAATGGCAACACCCTGAGGGATAGCCATCACAGGTTTGTTGTGGGTAGGTCTTACCTGACCAATCTTATTTTCTTTTACGACCAGGTGACCTATCACCTGGACAAGGGGGAAGAGATTGATGTCATATATCTTGACTTTAAAAAAGTCTTCAATTTGGTATCCCATGATCACCTCTTAGTGACTTGGACGACGGGGTAAAAAGCAGCCTGTTTAAATTTGCTGATGATACCAAGATTTGGGGTGAGGTGGGCACGCTAGAAGGGAAGGACAGATTACAGCAGGACCTGGACAGGTTACAGGGGTGGGCTAACAAAAAGAGGATGGGTTTCAATACTGACAAGTTCAGGGTGCTGGACTTGGGCAGTGGGAACCGGCAGCACACTTATAAGCTGGGAAACTCCCTTCTCAAGAGCACGGTGGCAGAAAGAGATCTTGGAGTCATTATTGACTCCAAGATGAACATGGGCTGACAATGCGAGGTCGCAGTCAGGAAGGCCAACCGTACCTTGTCATGCATCCACAGATGCATCTCAAGCAGGGCCAAGGAGGCGATCCTCCCCCTCTATGCGACACTGGTCAGGCCGCAGCTGGAGTACTGCGTCCAGTTCTGGGTGGTGCACTTCAAGAGGGATGTGGACAGCATGGAGAGGGTCCAGAGGAGGCCACCCGCATGATCTGGGGACAGCAGGGCAGGTCCTATGAAGAGAGGCTACGGGACCTGAACCTGTTCAGCCTTCACAAGAGAAGGCTGAGGGGGGACCTGGTGACCGTCTATAAACTCACCAGGGGGGACCAGAAGGGTTTGGGGGAGACCTTGTTTCCCCTAGCTCCCCCCAGGATAACAAGGAATAACAGCCACAAGTTGCTGGAGAATAGGTTTAGATTAGACATCCACAAGAACTACTTCAGTTAGGGTGTTTAGGATCTGGAACTAACTTCCAAGGGAAGTGGTGCTGGCTCCTACTCTGGGGGTCTTTAAGAAGAGGCTTGATGCCTACCTGGCTGGGGTCAACTGAGCCCAGTTTTCCTCCTGCACAGGCAGGGGGTCGGACTTGAAGATCTACAAGGTCCCTTCCGACCCGACTTCTATGATCCCCCTAAAAGCCAGCAGCATCGGAGACCCCGAAACCCTCCCACAACTGAGTGTGGGGGAACAAGACGCTCCCAGACCCGGGTGCCAAGGGACCGAGACCCACAGAGCCAGGTGCCTTGGGAACCCAAGACCCCACCAGAGCTGAGAGCGCTGGGGACCCCGAGACCCTCCGTCCCAGGTGCCCAGGGACCCTGAAACCCCCCCCAAAGTGGGCAGAATCAGGGCCCCCAAGGCCCCTGGAGAGCTGGTGCAGGGGGACCCCGAGACCCAACCAGAGCCAGCAGCATTGGGGACCCTACCCCAAGACCCCCCCTAAACTCAGGTGCCAGAGGACCCCGAGACCCTCCCAGACCTGGGTGCCTGGGGACACTGAGCCCGCCCCAGAGCTAATGCCGGGGGCCCGAGAGCCGGCAGCACCGGGGACCCGACCCCCAAACCTGCGCTTGGGCACGCGGGCTGGCCAGGCAGTCCCTCAGCACCCGGCTCGGGGGTCCCCGAGTCCCGGCCCTGGGAACGGGGCTGGGGCGGGTCGTGCGGGATCTCTCGGCACAGGAGGAACGAGGGCACGGCCCTGCCCGCGCCCCGCGTGGAAACGCCCCGCTCCCTCTGCCAGCCCCAGCAGCCTGCCTGCCCCAGCTGGG